TCGAATCTGGTTCGGCTCAGGTTGGGTTCCGGGTCAGTTCGGTCCGGTTTGGTCCGAGTTCATCCGTCTGGGTCAGCGCTCTGTCGCGACTGGATCCAGGGTCCAACTCGGAAACGGGTGAATTCCGTAGTTTCTTCAGCAGGAAAAGGTCACGTTCTGGGAAAATTTGGGCAGGGGTTTGGGGTCTATGTGGCCCGTGACCCTGCAAAGAAAAGCAAAACAAGCAAATCCACGGTGAAAATCCACTGCTCCGTCCCGGGAGAGGTCGCCGTCCCAGGAAGTTCGGGCAGTGGTTTGGTGGAAGTATTCTTCGGCGAGATGCTGGTGGTCGATCCGTGCCGTTGAGATCGGAGTTGGTGCTGCAGTTGGCGGTGTATCCGTTCTGGTTTCCCGCTGGTCCGGGTCGCGTTCGCTATCGGCATCGCAGGAGGCGTTTCTCAGCTCCGCAGCATCTCCGTCCAGTTTGGGAGGCATCCGTCGCAGGGAGGCGTCCATCTCCGTCAGTTGGGAGAGGAATCCACACGTTCCGCGGGAATGGGGGGGCGTTTTGTAGCTCCACACCAAGGGGTTAAAATGGCTCAGATAATCAGAGGAGCGAGGCCGTGCGCGCTGCCCGCGCGCACGGCCTGGCTCGTAACCAACGATCTGCGACCATATAACGCGGGGCCGTATGGGCGCCCCGCGTATCCTCGACAGCGAACAGCGGTGAACCCGGATGAGGCTTTATTGCCGAATCTAATGCGCACCGTGGCGCAGCAACACCAGACTAACAAGGAAAAATTCTGCAGCCAGTGCAACTGTGCTGCAGATCCGTCAAAACAGCGCAGAAATGTGCGGGGTGGAAATCCCCAGAAACAGCGAATAGCTACTCAGGAGGGCGGAGCGTCCCGCCCTTACACTTTGCTTCCGTCACGCCCGCGTGATACTTTTCGGATGAAGTTTTACACCGTTGAACTCGTATACAATTGTAGGTGCAAGCACAAATTACATGCTAAAATGTATATTTGTATTGTATAACATGTTGAGTGTCGATCGCTTGTTGTGCAGTATTGAGACTATTGATATTAACGCGCTATGCGTAGATTGCGTATTACGTATGTACGTGTTGTCTGTTCTGTTACGTACGATTTGCTGTTCTGATCTAACGGTTTTGATCGCTAATTCCATCCACGATTCTGGTTAACTAGTCAGTCTGAAGTTTCTAACTTCAACTGAATCTGTGAGCTTGTTTCAAGCTAACAGGTCGTGTGACTCCAGGTTAGAAGGAAGTTCATTCGTTCTGTTTTGTTCTGTTTGTGTAGTTCGTTCGGTTTGGTGATTCAAACAATTGGGAAGTTCCTGAGTGTTTCGGTTTCGGTAACTTTCGTTAGGCACAGCAATCCGCTCGTACCTAGCGGAAGTAGGCAGTAGTACCACTTACGGAGTCCAGAGCATATTCCCACTCTACCGATTGAGTAGGTTTGGTTATCTAGTGCGGTTGTCGCGGTGCGATAGCATAGCATGTCACTTCCGCATAGCATGTCATGGCGCCCACCGGATTTTAACAACCCCTGGGAATCTGGATCGTCTGGTAAGTGGTATTAGTTTTTGGCGTTTTGTGTGGTGCTGGTTGACCACGTGGATTCTCAGAGAATCCCGTGAGGCAAGGTTCCTAAGCGAGAACCAGGTGCTTGCCCGCAGTGTGTACCGCAGTGACCTTAGAGGGTTGCGCGAGGCACGGTTCCTAAGTGCGAGCCAGGTGCTGGACGGGAGTCCGTATACTGTACTCGTACTGGTAATTGGTACGGTGTGTACTGAGAAGTGGTGGCGAAAGCCCTGTTATTTGTGTAGCAGACTTACATCCGGGTTCGGTGACCTGGATTACTTGTCTGTTGTTTGTCAAGCAGGTGCAATGGATGGTACAGTGATTGAACCATCAGCATTAACCGCTGGACCGGAGGACGGTGTAGAAGAGCCGTCAACTGGCAAAAGTAAACCGTCCCGTCGAAAAGGGATGATAAATGTTGATGAGTTTCGTTCAAATCGTTCACTACGTCGTTCAAAAAGCTCGATCTGAACGAATCGGAACGTATTATCTGAAGCAAGGATTAAAGAAGAACCGTTTCTTTGGTTCAAATACGGAAGAGAAAAGAGGCAGATCGTTGAAGAATTTCTGTCAGAATTGAAAACTGCAGTATGGCTGCGTAACAGTAATCCCGGTTCTGGTTACTCTGAATCAAAGACAGTTCAGTGGCAGGAAGAGAGTTGATGCAGATAGCAGCGCAGTTGGGCTACTGCTAGTAATGAGAAGAAGTCCGAAGGAAGTGCAGTTGATAATGGTAAGCAGGTAACCATTAATTACGCTAAATGGTATTTTCCAGACGGACAACCGATATGTTTTAAATGCCATGGCGCGCATTGGGAAAGAAACACCAGTACGGAACCTCGTAAGAGTCTATGACAGCTGAACCGCCGGATCAGGTGATTAAAGCTTATATGATGAAGAAGTCGATGGGAAAGAATCGAAAGTAATAGTTTGGGATTGTTTTGATGCGCAAACCGGAGGTTAATTCATACTGTGCAGGTTAAACATGCACAAGAGTTCCGCTGCACTGAAGGAAACTTGCAGTGGGGGCGTGATACCGCTCAGGTTAAGTTCTGCTCGGTACGCCGTCCGACAGGGCATCATTCGCTTTGCAGTGGGGTGCTCAGGCTAGTGTGGGTTGACGTCGGAAGCCAGTGGTAGTGCTTATGCAGCGCGAAGTATCTGATCAAGAATCGAGGAGATGAGTCGGATGAAAGAGAACGAAAGATTTTCATGTTTATCGTGGCATTGTGTACCGTAGTTAAGGGCGGTAGGCAATTTTGGTGACAACGTAGTCAAAATCAGTTAGCCGTCAGAACTGTTGCAGACTGCCATGAAAGTTTCATGCTGGTGATCTGCATGATTGGTCAGTCCGTAATGTTTTGCGGAACTATTATTGGCCTGGGATGAATGCTGCATTGTGGAAAATGGAATCAGGTTGTGAGCAATGTTGTGCTCACGTTTAAGTTCTGACTGCTACGTTATGAGTCCGCTGTTTCATTGTCAGGAACACTGACAGCAGTAACTTATTTTATCTAACCCAACGCAGGATTATCAACAAAAGGATGCTGACTGCTGATTGATCAGAAATTAGGTGCAAATCAGAATAACTTGTTGTTTGGGAAATCAGGTACTGAAATTTAGAAGTACTTTGTGTTGTGCGCCGTAGCCGCCGGTGTGGTAGCTACGTGCATGGAAACGCTGTGCTGCGGTGCAGTGTTTGATTTATGTGAAAGTGATTCTAAAATCATTTTGATTCTGCAGTCGGAGCAGTAATTACGATTATTGTTTGATTTTGATAACTGGATGTTGATAATCCAGTTGGGATTCAAATTGGTCATCCGGAAATTAATCTTGGATGATATTAGTTGCGTTTTGTTTGATCATTGCTAAGAACCATGCTATCGTATCGGTTCTTGCGATCTATTTGTGATTGACTGTGTTTGATCGTTTGACTGCAGGTGCAAACTTGCAGTGGGGGTAATTGCCAGTAATTAGTGGAATTAAATATCCACTTTTTGGGGCACTGAAGATGCTGATTAACGAACGGTATTCATTCGTTTTAATCTGTATCTGTGTTGTTGATTGATTGGCGGTAGCCTGTGTTTGTCAGAATGGCTGCCATTTCTGATGTGTCTGGCCTGACGGTTTACGGATCCTCGAGCTCTTCGGAGGGAGAGGATGGGTGAAAACCTTACCTGGATACGAAAAGATTGGATGGATGACGATAACGGACGCGCTTGGAACCAGGAACCTCGGAGGACTTGGACGGAACACCAACTTCATCAACCTGGACCTCCATTCGAGCCCCCGTTACACCCCGGATTTGACACGCGAATGATGGAAAGGATCTCCCAGGATCACGGTACTTTCCTGGATTTAAAGTTTTCTTTGAGTTTGGTTTTGGTTTGTTTTGTTTGCTTTGATTAACGCGGACGTTAATTCTGTAGCAGTGGGGGTAACGCGCTATGCATAGATTGCGCGTATTACGTACGTGTGATGACGTACGTGTTGTCTGTTCTGTTACGTACGATTTGCTGTTCTTATCTAACGCATTTGATCGCTAATGCGATCCACGATTCTGGTCTAACTGGGGAGTCTGAAGTTTCTAACTTCAACTAAATCTGTGAGCTTGTTTCTAGCTGAAAGGTTGTGTGACTCTAGGTTAGAAGGAAGTTCATATCTCGTTCTGTTCTGTTCTGTTTGTTCGTTCGTTCGGTTTGGTGATTAAACATTTGGGAAGTTCCTGAGTGTTTCGGTTTCGGTAACTTTCGTTAGGCACAGCAATCCGCTCGTACCTAGCGGAAGTAGGCAGTAGTACCACTTACGGAGTCCAGAGCATATTCCCACTCTACCGATTGAGTAGGTTTGGTCATCTAGTGCGGTTGTCGCGGTGCGACTTCCGCATAGCATGTCAATATTGTCAGTGCATTACTTTTTAATAACCAGCCGGATATTTCTTTATGCTTATACGCACGGCCTCCAGCCATTTTTCCAGGTCAAGCACGAGGAGAAATTTCAACGAGTTTTGGTCGAAGTTTTATTGGTACTTTTGGGCGAGTAAGATGGCAGACGGCAGCGTCAGAACATATGACATGCCAGTCCTATAATTACGGAAGCATCAAACGACGACATGGCAACTGACAGTTAGTCCACAGGCCAATCACAGTTGGCCATTGATAGCTGCGAGATATTTACAGACAATAGTTGAGAAAATGATACATTCGATAATTATACCGCCAGGATATATTCCACGAATTGCAGCCTAGATTTCATAGAATGTTTTCTATGTCGGCCATGGCGCTGTGCCTTACTTGCCGCAAGGGACCGATTAAATTGCAGAGAGTCGTACAGACAGGTGCACCATGGCTCCTACGCTACCATTTAACAGTAATGTATTACTGTACACGATTTAAATTTGTCCACGTTGCGGTATATAACAGCTACGAAAAGCGAGCTAAACTGTCAGATTCGCTCGGCATTTACACCCGCTGTTTGAACGGTACCGAGCATAAGTTTGCTTATTCAGTGCAAAGTTCACGTACACAGCCCATCTCATAATGTCAGCGTTGACTTCTGCCCAGTTGGATGGCGTAATGCAGACTACCCTCAACCAGATGGGTTGGAGCGTGGAGATCGTCGACCCCTACACCGGGATCTTTCTCAAAAGGATGCACGGCGCCCGCCAACCAGTCGCCGATCTGGGCTGCGGCTTCGGCATCGTCACCGAACACCTGCTGGCCGACGGCGCCACCGTCATCGCCAATGACATCGCCCCGGCCCACCTCGAGGAAGTGAAACGCCGCATTCCCGATGAGCAACGCGCCAACCTCACCTTGGTGGCAAGGGACGCCACCCAACTGGACTTCCCCGCCGACAGTCTCGTCGGGATCATGGCCGGACGCTGGGTGCACTTCCTGACCTCGCCCGCCTTCCGCGAGTTCTTCCAGAAAGCGTACACGTGGCTGGCTTCCGGGGGAACACTTTGCGTCACGGTGCATGCGATGAAAGCTTGGTGTGCCCCGGATGTGTGTCGGGAGTATGAGAAGAACCGGGAGAGTGGGATGGAGTGGCCGGGATGGGTGGGGAGAGAGAGATATTGGGATTTTGCCCGCCCGTACGCGTATACCAGAGCGCGAACTGGCTGGAAGATGCCGGGTTTCTGGTGGAGAAAGCCGGGTTGTACGATCTCATGATTCCCAGTTATCCCGCCAGTTATCGCAGCTACTTGGCATCTCAAAATACCATAGGAGTGGTGGCGATTAAGCCGTTTCGATGAGAACAAGAGTGTGCGCAGCAAACACAACAATTCAATTTATGTAATGTATTCGGCAAAGTTCAGCTGTTCGACAAACAAATGCTAACGCTGAATGCTGAATAATCCTACATCGTCGTGCTTATTAATAAACGAACTTTAGAAAAATTGTTTCCTTTCCGCTGCATTTGAGTGGCTACGATGGATAAATAGGGATTATTATTAATTCTGCTTAGCAGCGCTTAAATAAATCGTCACAGTATAGAAGCTCCGGAAATACAGTTATCGGAGTGGTTAAGATGAAGTGTATCGTACATAATCAATTTTCAAACTTAAACTAGACTAAAACGGGCTTCCGGCAAGTTTACGGAAACCGTCAGTCCTATACGTCTATAACTTCGGAAACCTGATTTCACCGACAGGCTACAGACAAAACATATTATAGTGATTCCGTTTTGTCTGCCGGATAATCACCAATCATAAAGCATAACCCGACACGCAACGGTAAACACAATAACTCGTGTACCGGGAACTTCCGTAGCTGTTGGTATTTACCTGCTGAAGCGCCACTGGTTTACAAACGCAGCTGTGAAACCATATTAGTGAGTGGTTGTGACTTGTCTTGAAATATCGAGCCAGTTTACAGATAGGCGCCCATAAACCGCATGCGGGGCGGTACCGGTTTAGCCACCACAAAACACCGGTTCGGTGCATAAGTTCAGGTTTTACAAACTTTTATTAAACCGACGCTGTTCCAGCTTGATACGGTGCACGAGCACAAATTATCTCCACGTGAAATGTAGTACAAATTAATTTAAAGAATACACAATGAGTGCTTCATTTACTGCCAGTATTAGTTAAACGTTGAGTTAATCAGTTCAGGAACTCGTAATTTAAACCATGTTCGGCATTGGTAGAGTACGCCACAAAGCGTGAGCGTAGCGCAGTCTTTACGACTACATACTTTTAGGGAACTGTCAATCTGTTTATAACACTATTATCTACCGTACTGCTTATTTATTACAATACTATCTACCGTACGTACTTGTACATTATGTATCGATAGTTTACTGTTCGATCGAAGCGTTCCCAGCTTGCCAAGCATAATTATACTATAATCACCGCAAGTGGGGAATAATGGATACATCGGTGTCATAAGCTGGAGTTATTGTGGATCTACGGATCGGCTCGATGTATTGCGGTAATAAACTCAGACAACGAGTTGGCTTAGGTATGTCGGCAATGGCACCGTACAGCGGAGAGATCACGCGACCTGCCAGTCTTTGTAGTTATTTTTCCACTATCGTGTAAGCAACCGTCTAATCCGGCCTGCCAATCAAAACATAGTTCAATTGGATGTCTGCAATTTGTGTATTCTACGAAGCGGCATTAACGCTTTATTGACAGGATGACACATTCAGAAACCATACATTATAAAAAAGTGTTCTTCGCAGTTCTCATTGTCATGCATCGTACACTGTATAGTTCACCGGAAGCGATCTTCGACAAGGATACGTCATAGCCATATAACCAGGCACACTGCCGGCTTGTATACATGGAACGCTGTTTGTGCAACCTGTGCCTTGATGATCGAGACTTATTTATTGTGAAACAGCGGCACGTGATACACCATTAGTGTCATATTCAGTACCGGCATCTGTAGCCGCTGCTTATACTGCCTGTTAATGAAAGCCAGGTTGTAGTAGAGCCTTCCTTAAGATGCCGGTAACACTCCCCACAAAAATCGACGGCGTGATGCAGACCACCCGCAACCAGATGGGGTGGAGCGTGGAGCTCATCGATCCCTACACCGGGATCTTTCTCAAACGGATGCACGGCGCCCGCCAACCAGTCGCCGATCTGGGCTGCGGCTTCGGCATCGTCACCGAACACCTGCTGGCAGACGGCGCCACCGTCATCGCCAACGACATTGCTTCCGCTCATCTAGAAGAAGTGGAACGCCGCATTCCCGAGGAGCAACGTGCCAACCTCACCTTGGTGGCAAGGGACGCCACCCAACTGGACTTCCCCACCGACAGTCTCGCCGGGATCATGGCCGACGCTGGGTTCACTTCTTGACCTCGCCCGACGGATTCCGGGAGTTCTTCGGAAGGGCCTACACCTGGCTGGCTCCCGGGGGAGCGATCTGTGTCACAACGCAGGCGATGAAAGCCTGGTGTCCGCCGGAAGTCTGTCGGCAGTACGAGGAAAAGAGGAAGAGTGGGATGGAATGGCCGGGATGGGTGGGGAGGGAGATATACTGGGAGGTGTTGAAGGAGCGACTGTCGCCCATCGGGTACGCGTTTCACGCCGACGAGTTGGCTGGTTTAGTGTAGGATGCCGGGTTTCGGGTGGAGAAAGCCGGACTGTATGATCTGGTGATTCCCAGTCATCCCTCCAGTTATGACATGGGTCAAGCCCATGAAAATACTGTCCGGGTGGTGGCCATCAAACCGTCAATACGAAAACACTGAGCAAACCGATGTTTTATGGTGAAGCGCACGAATTAAATTTTGGATATTTGTCTTTACAAAGAATTTATTGCACAGGAGCAGTTTTTTATGTATGTACTAACGTATTTGTATGTATGTAGTAACTTGTGCATGGATTCCTCAACTGTATTCTGCGGTCATAGTAAATTGAGTAATGTGTTAGTTTATGGGCCGATAAATTAATTATTTGTGATTTGGTCCGTCAAATAACGTATAAACCGGTTTCCGTTCTACAATAAAACGGTTTTATCCGATTTACGAACAGTATTGTATGCAAATGTGAGCCAGCAAAACAGTTGTGTCTAAATGCCAACAGGAAAATGCAAATTGTCTGTGGTAAATTTTTGGCATTGATGAATCATTGCAGTAATTATCAGTTAAATCACAAAGAAATTCAGAGTAGCATGTTGTCATATCCGGCGATGCTGATTGGCTGCATGCTGACAAGATCAGGCTTGGCATCACCTTTCCCTGAAACCCAGCGTGCAGGTTACCGCCATGTGCACCCTCACGTGGTGGATATTATCATGTTACGATAACCGGCAGTTATCGGTGTATCATTTGGTTTTTGACTTTGTCCACTTTAAACAACGGCCGTACAAGTTGGCTTCCGGCATTACAGTCAGCGGCCGTGGACAATAAGTAACGAAAGCCAACTGCAAGATCGGCAGCACTGATTTCGGACGAATGGACTGCCCGGTCCAAAATCAACTTCATCTACAACCTACTGACATGATCTGGGCAGTACTGCACTGTATTACGTCATCTTCGTACAGCTAGTTGGCTTTGTTGTACGTGCACGGTGCAGCTACGGTGTAGCTGGCACACGTCCATTGAGTGAATGGGCAAATGCAGCGGTGATTCTGGTCTACAGAATCAGTCTTGACGAGTCTTGATTCTAGCTTGGTTCTAGATTCTGCGCGCATATTCCATCTTGAATCTAGTTCTGAGTATCTGGATGTCAGTGTGACCTTCGTTAGGGAGCTAGAGATAGTTCTTTAGCGGAAGTCGTGTGGATCAGCCAGACCATCGGCTGATCGGGATCCCTGTGTGTTCGTGTGTGTGGTGTTGCGTGTTTGGTCGCGATCGTGTTGTTGGTAATATTAATAAGAGCTTATTAATATTTCTGTGTATCTTCCACAAGTCAGTCCAGATTCTACTCTGCTGACGTGAGTCAGGTTGGTCGTGTATGCAATATTGTGAGTACAAGTATTGCAGAGCATGTCACTACCGTTAAATCTAGATCCGGCTTGTATTTGGTTTCGAAATGATAAAATGGGCAAACAATTTACCGGTACTTTGCCAGTTGCTAATAGCCTCTGTTATTGTTAGTACGCTACTAACCTACACTAATTATCACATTGTGTATCTGATGGATTGGGGCTGCAATAAAAGGCAGCAATCATTCAAAACTCCTGATGATTAAATTGCGGCTGTTTGTACTGCCGAATGCAAAAAAAGGGACTTCAACGATTTCCGCATTAAAAACGCTTACGCTATAATATGACTTTATCTAGTAAGAAACATATGAGTATAATTTTCGCTTCGGGAGCAGTCGCATTAGCGCGCAGCTGCTGATTTACGGCCAATGATGAAATTCCGCAGTTGCTTTTTAATTTTTAAACATAAATTTATTCAACTTTTTTGAAATTTGTTCTGACTTCTGCACCAAACTTTCTCAAGTACCTACCTACAGCCCTGCCGGGCCAAGTTGGGACAGTTGCATAAAATAAATTATAAAATATTTGTATTCATCTTTTTACTTTTTTCATTTAACATTATTGGTGTAACTTTTTATTGCGAATTCAGAAATGTCAAAACCGATAAGTTCGGGTCTGCCAGTAGCGAGCCAAGCGGTGGTTTAGGGGGCGGGGCGATGGACCGATGGTCTGTTTTAGAGTTCTTATAACTGCCCCTTTAGAAAATTCACCGATCAATATTTTCTCGTGGACTTTTTGTAAATCTATTGAGAGACCCAAAAGGTGTCCATCACAAGTTGGCAAAAGAATTGTGCACAACCGGTTCTCGCGGTCGGTGCGAAATTAGGGAACGCTCCCATAGACTACTATGTTATAACTAATCTTCGGGAGAACAGGGCTGCCTAGCACACATAGTGTGGTAACCTCGAACTAATTCTTTCCAGGGATGACAAATGGATCACGTCATTCGAATTTGATGTTTTGACTGACATCTGTTGCATAGAGCGGGAGATGGTTGTGTTGAATAAGTGGAACAAAAAACCAACGAAGCTACAGATAAAAAAAGTTATAGGTGCTGTTTGAACTCTCTGGGACTTAATACCCCGGGCTTATTGTGAGGATAGCGATACTTAAATCGACACTGTAAACTTCCTGAACGAGATTTTACCAAAACAATTTACATACGGCTCCCTGCTACTGTACGGCGAGCATGCAGAGGAGGTCACCCTCCTGTTTTCCGGTACCAGCAGTCAGACTGCAAAGGTCACTCACACCTGGCTGAAATCGACTGGTATATAGAACAGTTTGCGAGAGTACTGCATCGCGAACAGTTTGTAGAGTTACCAGTTTGAGACTATGACACCAGAAGAATTTTTAAACAAATTCTAAATGGGACAGCACCTAATAAAATCAATGGGTCGAACCACATTTTCCAACTAGTCTGCTCTAGTTTCTATCTTACTATAATTCGAAACAAGCTTCCGGAATAAAAACCTCAAATCTAAAAGATGTTGGACACCCGTAGGGATCATTTGAACATTTAATCAGTTTTAATTTGGTGTCGGACGATTCATGGAAATTTTTGAGAGAAACTGTCCCAACTTGGCCCGGCAGGGCTGTATGTACTTATCTAGCTTTTGAGAATTATTCTTCGCGTTGACCGACACGGATGACACATCGTGAGAAGCATGCAATAAACTGTTGCGTAAGCAAAGACTTATCTAAATAGCAAATACATCAAGTTATTCTTTTGCTAAAGCTAATAAAAACGGTCAATACTAAAACGATGCTCTTAAAGCATCTCAACTGGAGTTGCTTATACAGCGCTTCCAGGGAGCAATCGACTGTTCAGGTTGGAAAAGGATGTAAAGTCACGAAACCGCTGTGGTTACGATTAGTTAAATTTTATTGCTTTCCAAACGGAAATTCTTGATTGCGCTGAACGGTATGAGCGCATGACCTCTGGACAATGTTTTCTTTCTTCCCTGTCACCGGTCACGTAGCGCGGGTTACGACAGTGTATTTCCAACTTTAGACAATGGCTGTCTCGGTTAGGATAACTCTTATAATCATCAGTAAGGGCGCAAGGAATTTAAAGAAATCTGGCTGCGCTCATGCTGCTTCTGCGTGTCGGTTAAATCTCCGCGCGTGCTGAAAGCCATAAATATTTATTAATCTTCCATAGAGCTTGCGTCATGCTTTACAGCTCTACCTGCGAAATCAGGTGCGTGGGGATTTTGGAACGGGAAAATTATACGATGACCCCAGCATCTTGCACACTAAGTTAGAGATCAAAGTTTGCGAGCCCCCGCTAAAACTGTTGTTAACGAGGCTGTTGCAAAAGCCACCAACATAACAAAAAAAGCCTTCGGGGTCGCACTAATAAAAGGATTGAGACTAATAAAAGGATTTTTATTAGTTTTAATCCTTTTAAGCACTAAAAAAAGGATTTTTAGCACACACTAATCATGCTAAAAATGGTTAGTGTGTGCTAAAAAACGATATCTATCATTTGGCAGCAGTTTATTGATTGCCCCAAAAAGTCACTCTGAGCTGAAAGAATCACTCTACCTTTCAGCTTGACAATTTCAAACAAGCATGATATTCATGGATTATATTGAAGAATTTGATTAATGTTTATTGCTAAGTATACCCTCTTAAGCATTGATAAATTAGAAAGGTCAGCTAAAAAGGTAACCAAAAATCCAGCTCAGAAAAGTTACCAGCAACGAGAAAGATCTACATGGTGAATACCTAAGCCCTCGTAAACCGGAAACGCTTGCACATGGCGGCTTGTCAATGTAGATATACTAGATATTTGAGCTTGTTTTAGTGGCTAGATATTTGAGTTTGTTTTAGCGGATGCCCTGACCGTCTTGACATGAAAGGAAACATGAGCGCGGCGCTGCAATTAAGAACAACTGTTGCGAAAATTCTGTCTGTCGCCTTCTTTGCAGCAAGTGCACAATGACGAGATCGCCGGGTGCGCCTCCTTCGATAACGCGCCCGTTCACACTTTCGTTCGTCGCGGACGCACTTGTTGTAGTCATAAGCCAACAAAGCCATGTTGCTTACTTATAATTACGGCGTAGAGGACCGTTATTTCCTAACACGCTGCGATCAGTGTCGTATTTTTGTGGAAACGGAAATGCCTAAGAAAAACCTCGATTAAAGTTAATTTGCCTTGAAAAATTGTGCAGAGTCACTACAGACGATAAAATGACTTACAAACACCTGGAACGAGAAATTATCCAGTCATCCAGAATTCTGCATAAATTGTTAGCAAGATTCCTGTGACTCAGTTAGCGTTACAAAGTTATTGACTGCTTAAATGAAACGTTGCGCAAAAACATCCAACATTCATGAGTTGTGCACTTGGCTGGTCTACGACAAATTTCCCTCTAAAGTTTACGGTAAGATATCTACAGCACTCGTATAACTAGTTATACTATTTTGAGGTTTTTTATTAATACAGAATAGTAACCGAAGTTAAGGTTGAAGGTCATTTTGTTAAAGAGCACCAATTTTCAGGCCGTGTTCTAATCTAAAGCTATCTAATTTTGCTGTTTCAAGTACTGCTGCATAATGATGTTATTTCAAATGAGCTGATTTGAATAAAATCATTAGGTATATTAGGTCTGCAAAAAAGGCGGGAAAAGTTACCGTACTGCCGGTACTGGGTCGCCAGCGGTAAGGTGTCGTTCTTCCACGCCTGCCGAGATATTGCACGGTGTTGGGTTTAAAGTTTTAAACAGTACATCAGAGAGCTTATTCACAGGCAGCGACATGAGATATTACGTTAATTTATATAGACTGCCCAGTTAGAAGATCATCAAGGGATTACAATACGCAGGCCGCAGCAGTGTCGCATCCTTCAACGACAGTTGGGGCGACTTTCAATACGACAAAGTTAACAAAAACAACCAGGTCCACGACAGCCGTCCCCGCCAAATCCAAGTAAGAA